GCGATCTCGCAATCGCTAGTTTGTTGGCTCCATGGCTGCGAGACCCGCTCCTATGTAATTATAAATAACGAATTCTAAGGCAACGCAAATATTGAGGTCAAGAGGCTGAGCTCGTAGATGATGATAAATAACATAGTTATGTATAATATATTACATTTCTGACTGTATATCCCTGTAATTATTACACACTGTAGCTTTAAACCGGAATTAAACTGGAATAAACTGGAATAAACTCAGGAATAATGATAAATACGGTTTAAGTGATTTTCAAAAACAAGATTTACGTACATATGTTATTTTCACTTTATGGAGAGGCTCATATACACCTGTACTTAACTGCTTAATCTCTAAGCAAGGTATATGTTTATAAAATATAAATTTATTCATCCACTTTTGTAAAGTTTACTCCATCTTAAACATTCAGTCATTTCCTCCTGCTTTAGTTGTGAAGAACGTGTCAAATATACATTTATAAAGAAAAAACTATCAATTAATTGTGGCAGCAGCGAGTACCTTGATCCCTTTATCTCATATAAACAAATACTATACCACGTGTATAGTTTTAAGCGTTACCTCTTTGGGTTTCAGAGATATTGGCTTTAGTCCGTGGGCCTCCAGGACCTGACCAGGAGTAAAAGGAGAAAGAACGTGAGCAAAGTCAGAGGTAATCAAAAAGCAAACATGTTTTCCCATTGAACCTCGCAGCCTTTCGCCTTTCCAAGAACGAGGCTCATTTCCTTCAGGTATTACAAAGTCGATGTTTTGAAACTATGGAAAGGTGACTGTACATATTTGGCATCTGCCCATCCGCTCTTGGGGGACCACATTTTCCCCTCCCCCATCAGTCCCAATGCGAGGTGTGAGAGGGGGGCCAAGTCTCCACTTGCTCCAACAGTTCCCTTCTCTGGAACGAAGGACAGGCAGGAAGCTGGGAGGGCAGAATGAGCGGGAGACGAGGGTTAGTCATGTGACAGTCGGCTTTTCAACACTGAACCTTTCAAAGAGGTTATCAGCGTAGATTGAGACACCGATAAAACATATCAGCTTGGGTAAACGGCGGCTGGCGGATCTAGCTGCAGGTTACCATTGAAGGCTTGGATCATGGCTTGAAGGGTTTCCAGAGAAATCCCGCTGTAGCCTTTAGCTAAAACATTGATCCGCAGAGCGAGCAGCATGCGGGTCCTCTCAGGGCTCAGCGGGTTCCCCAGCCCTATAAATCACAGCAAATCGCTGAAGCCTTTTCAAATACAGCAGCGTCTGAGATACAAAATGCTCATAAAATGTCACTCTCAGGGTGAGCTATAGAGACTGTTCAATCACCTGCCGAGTGGGACCGCACCAAGTTTTCCTGGAGCTCCCTGTGGAACAGAAAGTGTGCGTTACATCAAAATCAAAGGAGGCGGATTCTACCGCAGTGATCAGAGATTAGAGCGTAAATGTTGCCTTTACTTGAGCTTGCTGACAGGGATGACGGTTCGGGCAAATTTGCCAAAACCTGTCGTGATTCCATAAACGACTGCAGGAGCGACAGATTCAGAGAAATAAATTCATTTAGCCGAGTGACATAACAGCCTCAGCAGTGAATTAAGTGTTAAATGTGGGGTTTTAACCTTTGTTTTCTTTGACAATGGTGTCCAAAAGTTCTCGTGATTGCACAACTTTTCTCTCTGCCTCTTCAGTCAGCTGAAAACAAGTTTGGTGGAGGGAGGGAGGGATTACATTAAGTCAAAGATTACCACAGGCAGAAAAACAGAGAGTGTTTGATCATTACCTTTATCTTGTAGAGTCCTCGGCCTAAATTGACCAGATCTGTGGAGGTCAGGCTGTTGCCATCCAAACTAATGTACTGTACAAGTGAAATATGTGTCACAAGAAACTAATTTGAGAACATTTCTGAGACTTTTAACAAAAAATTAAAAAAAGAATATCAGACTTACTTCTGCAGGTTCTTTATATGCTGCTGTGCTGTTTTGTAGTCTGATTAAGGATAAATGTCCAAAAGTATCTTTGGATTCTCAGAAGTCAACATGTTGTTAATAATTTTATTCAATTTGTTACCTATTTCTGTTTTGAGTGAACAAATATACCCAGCAGGTTTAACCCTTTAAAGCCCGATCCAAGAATAAAACAAAACAGAAAAATTACTTTTTTTTGGTTTGAATTCCTTATTTTCCCTTTTAACAAAATATTTAAAAAGAAAAAACAGAAATACATTTTTGATAATTTATTACTATGCGATAAGTCAAGATAATTTTTTTGTGTAGTCTTCTGTTATCAGGTATAGCCTATCTGATTGTGTACAATAGGATTTTGAGCAAAGTTTTTACCATTAAATTATGCAAAAGGTGTCAGATGCAAAACATTTCAGAAACCGTATCTATCAAATATGATACATTTGGCATTATAGGGTTAAGGATACATATTAGAAACTCCAGGCTCACAGGGAATAAAGTCTGAAGACATAGTGTCTCCTTCGATAGCTGGAAGAAATTTTGAAAAAAATAAATACTCTTAAATTACTCAATTGATGACCTTATGTACTGATTGTTAACTTTAATTCATCACTAAACCTCTGTGTGTTCATTACCAAGCTCAACAAAGTCATTATCCTCCAGCACATCATCGATGGTGTCCTCTGCGTCCAACAAACCCAAACCTTGGCACCTGCGCACAAAGAAGCGCGTCTCTTTCACAGACCCGATGCCACCGTTGTCCGGCTTGTTCTTCATGTACCGTTTCAGGGCTTCCTGTCCGAGCCACTGGATGGTGTTGGAGGTGTCCCGGCAGGACACCGCCAGCCATTCATCTCGGATGTGGACGGTGAATCGAGGCATCGCGCGTCAGCGAGGCTGTGCGGCAGTGAGCGCCGCGCTCTGCGCTCCGGGGTTCCATCTCCAGCTGCGCGCCCCGCGGACACCAATCAGAGGAGGCTGAGGCGGACACGCCTCGCTGGAGTCACACTTTTTTTTTTTTCCCGGAGACCAGTGACCTCAGGTCGTTCACACAGATGTAGTTATGTGATCTGAGTCCAAATCACGAAATAACAAGGCGAGGACAGAGGCCTTACATGTGGAGCTGCTCTATGCTGGAAATGATTCACACTGGCATGAATGTGATCTAATGTGTAGATGTTTGTTTTTGCTGATTATGGAAATAAATCTAAGTGAAAAAGATAAATGCTGCTTTTAAATGATGCATTTGTGTCTGGCTACATGTCTTTATACATTTATGTATTATGACGTGTGATGATATTTGAATGTTGCAAACTTTGCAGTGATTATTGCAACACTTAGGCCTTTATAGGGCATACCCCTTACAAATAGAGCCCCCCCCATCCCTCAGTGAGCTCTAGAGGCACAAGATCTATATCCAGCCATTCAACAAAGATGCTGCTACATGGCTGTACATCTTATTTTGACATTTGACCAATTAGATTAGCCCTTGCAAGTTATATTACCTACTGTAAATTAAGTTGTAAAAAAAAAAAGTTAAGTTTGGAAAAAAAATGTAAAACCTAACTGAAAAGTTGAGAAGGTATAGATAAAAAGTACATAAGCCTAGTTAACAATTATATTTAGGTGTATAAAGTGAAAAATGAAAGTGTCAAGTGTGTAATCAGCATTAATGGGGAACGCCGTTTTTTTTTTTTTTTTTTGGGCCCTTGAATTTACCGTATTACATCATGACGTCATACATGTGCTGTTTGTTTTAAAACAATATATATAAATATAAAAAATATAACTGTGGATGTCTAGGATACAGTGATTCGCCTAGATGTTCTGAATGCTGGGGTACCATAATGAATAAATTATGAACAGTTTAGTTTTTGCCTTCAACCTGTTGCCCATAGGAAGACATTATTTGGATATAACCTAACGGAATATCTTCTGATCAGCTCCAAATGACACAAACTAATAAGTGTGAGTAAAAAATGATGTAATAATGTGAAATCAAGGGTCTAATGTAAAAAAAATGCCGTTCCCCTTTAATGCCTCTAAGGTTATGCTGTACCCCCAAAAAAAAGGTGTTTCTTTTACTCTCAGAGTGTTTTTCATGAATTTCTTAAAGAAGTACTTTTTTTTTCTTAATATATTCGAGCAAATTGGTATTTCTTGTTATAAAATTGACATTGATTTGTGCATTTTTGTTACAGAGGTAATAAGGTCTTGTCCTGGATTCCAATAACACTATTGGCTTGAAATTTTGATTTTCAAAGTATTTCACTGAGAGCCATAAATTGTGCTTTAAATTACCCTTTATGTGTGCGTAATATGTTGAAGCTTCTAATGAAAACAGCTCCCGGATTATAATGTAAATATGATGGTTTCAACATCACATTTGGCTCCAGACATGTTTTACTGAACCTTTAAAACATTTGTATTATTTGGATTATCTTTAACATAAAAAGCTAAGATTATAGATAATACAGCATTGATAACATGTTTTTAATCCTAACTGATTTATTTTAGACCGCCTTTCTCCCAGAATAAACAGAAAAGCTTCTTCCAAACAAATATTTATTTAAAAGTCAGACACTGATCACTGCAATCCAGTCTGTGCCGTTGTTTGTGTCTATAATCATTGTGTCAGTGGTGACTGTGTTGCATGTTATCCCTTGATAGCTCTAAGCTCATGTAATATGCGGTGGAAAAAAAAGAAACAAATATTTTTTTGGGATGAAAAACTCTTTTTAGTTGTGGAAAAACTGTCAGGAATCCAGTTTGTTTGGTCTGTTTTTGTGTTTCCTTTCCCTACAGCTCGTTGTCTCATTACCTGTGGAGTGCTCTTAAGCTGCTGACTGCCACTACCTCGATGCCAAAGTGTTTGCCAGCTTGGGTTACTCTAGCTATGTTTAGTTTAGCAGAGTCTAACCTGAGTTTTTGTTTAGCCAGTTTTTGGGTACTCTAGCCAAGCTGAGTTTGCTGAGTCAAACTGAGTTTCTTGTTTACCAGAGTTTTAATCTTGCCGTTTTTGTCTATGCCTTACGGCAGGAAGTCATCCTGCGAACTGGATGTTTCGGACCTTCTCTCCCCTGGAAGGATCTTCTGAGAACCAAACTGAGCTAAGGATTCAAGTTTATAGTTTGGATCAACCTTTTCCCCCAAGGATTGTCTGGGGGTTCTCTCTGAGCAGGGGATTCATCTCCACAATAACCCATTCAAGGACCGCAGGAAATCTAAGTGGCAGTCAGCTTCTCCGTTCACCAAGGAACAACCGCAGTCTGGGTAAACCCTGTCCGCCCTCCATCAAACAAGACAATCACTGGAACATCCCACACAGACTGGATTCAATAAAGACACCTTTTTTTCTGGAAACGTGAATCTGCAACCTATACCTCCTCTTTAAGTCAAAGAATCTAATTTCCCACAGAGCCTGAACTAACCGCAGTGTCTTCCCCTCACTTTCCAGTTCCGGTTTGACAGTGTTCAGAGCAACACTGGACTCATCTCATAATACTAAATAAACCTGTTAAACTTTTCCCTGGTCTCTCTGTTTGGTCTTCTGCATTTTGGGTCAGACCTTTTAGTAAAATCATGACAAAAACCTGAAGATCTAAGTTTTAAATCGATGGATAATAATTTAAGTTAGTTTCAGAAAGCCAAACTAGTTGTAATGAATATTATTTGATGAGTTGTTAGTGCTTATACTTTCAAGTTTCTGTGATTTCAACAGCTGTTTTGCTAGGGTTCATGATTTTGTTGTGAAATGAAGGAAAACCTACTGGAGTAGTTTAAGGTTAAGGTTTTTTTTTTATTGTTCCATTTTAA